TATATATATATATATGTGTGTGTGTCTGTGTTTCTGTTGTGTATGTATATATATAATTTTTATAGCCTTACATCATTGCTTGTATATATATATATATATATGTACATCAGTGCTTTTATATATATATATATATATATATATATATATATATGTGTGTGTGTCTGTGTTTCTGTTGTGTATGTATATATATAATTTTTATAGCCTTACATCATTGCTTGTATATATATATATATATATGTACATCAGTGCTTTTATATATATATATATATATATATATATATATATATGTGTGTGTGTCTGTGTTTCTGTTGTGTATGTATATATATAATTTTTATAGCCTTACATCATTGCTTATATACATATATATATGTACATCATTGCTTATATATCTTATATCGTTGCACACATCTTGAGAAAATAAAAATATAAAAAACAATTTTTATTGAAATAAATTTAAAAATACACAAAATACTCACGCCATGTAATTCACAGCAATTCGGTCTCGCCTTTTTTTGAACACCACGGAATTCATTGCTATCACGAGTATACCCTGAGAAAATAAAGGCATAACAATCAATTTCCATTATAATAAATTAAAAAATGCAATACAGAATACTTACGCTACGTAATTCACAGTTTTATTTAATTGTTTTGATAACAAAAACGCGAGACATGTTCGAACCGACACTTCTCAACCGAAACTTTCAAAACTACCATTTCCGGAAATTAAATGCTTGCGATTCTCGAATTATTTGCCAATCGATTACTTACCCAAGCGATTCTAGGCGCGAAGTTTAAATTTCTAAGTTTTCCATTACTCGATAGGAAAAGAATATAAAATTATTTTTTATGGAAGAAATATGTTCATAAAGTATGTTTTCTTTCTTGTTGATATCTTATATTAAGAACTATTTTGTCATTATGAACAATGATATATTATTATATGTATTATTACGTATATATATTTTTACGTTATGAATACTTTCGCCTATGTAAGTGCTTCTGTGAATTATTAAGTTGTTCAACAGTTTTTTTTTTTATCTTTGTAAATCGTAATTAGAATGAACGAAGAAACTGTATGGCAAGAATTGTCAGAAATACTTGCTGATCCTCCAGAAACAAGGAATAAGTGTTCGCAGTGCAAGTATGTACATATACGAAATTAGGTTATATTTAAGCAATTTCGTCTCATTTGATATTTAAATGGGAAAAGAATAAATTGTAATTTTATATTCTTTTCAAATTATATTAAATAAATTAATGTCATGCATATACAGGAGACCAGTACCAGTATGTTGGTGTCCTGGATTACCAAAGCATCCTGTACGCCCTGCATCAAAAATAATAATTTTACAGCATCCAGCTGAAGTAAAACGTTGTTTACGAACTGCACCTATGCTTGCACTTGGTTTAGAATCTGGAAAATGTGTAATTTACCGGTAATATATTTAAGACACGATTTAACATAAAAACTTGAAATTAATGATATTTTATTTTAGAGGAAAAAAGTTTCCACTTTCAAAACATGAAGGCTTAACAGAAATTTTAAATGATAAAGATACTATATTATTATATCCATCTCCAAGTGCTGTAGCACTTGATAAATTAAATCCTGTTGGTATTAATGGACAAAAACCATATAATCTCATTTTATTAGATGGAACTTGGCCACAGGCAAAGGTATTGTATCTTGTAACATAATTAGTTTATATATCGAAGTAAATAAAGAACAAAATGTTTATGACAGGCAATATATCATTCAAGTCCAGCGCTGTGCGTTTTAAGGACATGTAAATTAGTTGGAATTCCAATAAGTGAATATGTTATTAGAACACAACCAACCGAAGGTTGCTTGTCTACACTTGAAACTGGTGCATTTGCACTTTCCATTTTAGAAGGTGATCCAGAACTGAAAAATAAAATGCTCGGACCTTTACATTACCTTTGCAGGCAAGTATTTTTATTAATATAAAGAAATTACATTCTAGAGAGATAATAACTATGGAAACTTTAGATTTCAACTAGAAAATGGTGCTGTTACTCATCAAAGCAAAGAATTTTTAATTAAACAAAAAACTTATCCAAAACTAATAGGACGAAGATTGGCCAAACAGTTACGTATGCTGCCAGAGGAATCTACGTAATATTTTTTATCTAATTGGAAAGATGTTTTAATAAATATGTAATTTTTATAAGCATATTTTTAAAAAAGGGCAAATAAAAGAAATGAATTAGATTTTAATTTAAAAGTATATTTTGATACACGTTGCGTCATATTACTTCATACTTTTTGACAAAATACGAAAATCATATTTAATATTTCCAGATTGTGGTGCAAAATTAAATGACCATGAAATAATACTATGTTGTGTAACATGTGTTATATCTTTAAATAAATGTACACCTTGTCTTGTAAATGGATCCCATGATATTCGCTCTCCAGACTGTACTTTTACAGTAGGTCCTGATGATATTGTGATTTCGGAATTCAATTGCCAATCAATCCACAAAGCTACACCATTACACATTCCACTTCTAAAATAATTAAAAAAACATAAAAAGTTATATACTAGTTTATAATAATTACCATTGATATAAAATTCCATAAAATCTTACGTTAAAATAGGTACACATTCTGAAATATTTATATTTTCGTGTTCATTCACATCTTGCGTCAAATCAAATTTTTTAATAACAAATGGCAAACTTAATGCTTTAGTAGGATATTCCCATAATGGTTGAGCTTCTATAGGACTATCACTTTTATCGCTTGATGCCTGTAATACATTATAAAAATTAAATGTTTGTTACATCTTTTAATTTATATCGACGTACTTACTTGAATAAGTTTGTCAAAAATAGATAAATCGAAACCTTCACAAACACCAAGAGGTGCTCGTATTTTATGTAAATCCTTAAACTCAACTATAACACCCATTATTGTTGCTGCAATTGGAATCCTTTGTATTTGAGGCGAATATCTAGAGGCTAAATACCAAAAGTAAAGATTTTCCCATGGTACAATTGAAGTGATAAAATATGGTTCGCCAAAAATGAAATTAATTGCACTTTGAGGAGGCAATTCGTCTACTGATTCAATAATTTCTACTTTTTCTGAAAGCTCGTTTGTTTTAACAAACATTTCGATACATTTTCTGGATAAAAAGTTTGTCTCTAAGATGAAGATTTTTTTTGCACCCAATTGAACAGCTGCAAGACCCAATAGACAGCCGTCTGAAAGACATAAACACACTGTGTCAGGTGTAATTTTTTTTTCTAGAGCTTTAATATATTTTTTATTTCGTGCATAGTCATTTAGTTGTCCTATACGAGTTCTACAATAAGCTATGTGTACATTACAGCTGCAAACAGGTCTTTCACAATCGGGTGCTTCATTTCTGCAAACAAGACAATGTTTTCTTCTATGAAATAACAAAACAACTAAAACAAAATAATAAGGTCGTTAAATTAGCTTACATTGATTCATTTATTAATTGGAACCATAATGAATATTCATCATGGTAGCCAATCAAACTAACTTCATTATTAGCAGTAACCGAGGTTGCAGCAGGTAAATAGTAAATAGCTTGCATCCAATGATCTCTCCAAGGTATTACATCTGCTATTTCTTGCAAACTGAGACCTTTATTTTGTAAAACTTTTGTATCTGAATGTTCCCACACTGGAGCACAACTTAACAAGACCTAATAAAATACATAAAAATAATTTAGTAATAAATGTAAAATCTTTTAATAAATAATAATTACCTCATTATTTACATCCATAATTAAATCCCACCACATAAAAATAGCATGTGCAGTACCACTTGCGGTTGGTTTTACGTGTAAACACCTTTTTTCATCATATAATAGAGTTGATTTACCAGATAAATCAAACCTAAAATTCATTTTATATTTCGACCACAAATCTTTTCCATCTTGAACAATTTATGTACACATGTAATATACATTTACCTAAAGATAGGTTGAGGAGGTAGTAGAGGTTTAAATGCATTATGAGGAAATTGTGTTAATTGTATATCATGCACTGCAGCTGCTCCAGAACATGATTTTACAGAATGTGGAGTATTTAAAAAATATTTACTTCTATTTTGAATGGGATGTACTGTATTCCATGTACATATTGTAGGACTTTCTACTACTTGTACCCAAATAGTAGCGGTATGGGGAATTACAATACTGTTTTCCTGAAATAATATATATGTGTATATAAAATGCTATTATATAAAACTATGAATTAACTAAGATGAATTTCATACTTCAAGAAGATTTTCATGAGCATGACGAAACGTAGAAAGTGCTCCTTCTCCAATAAGTTCAGTATCAAATACTTCAGTGACTAAAATGTTTGCTTTTTTTATCATATCGCCATCCTTTCCAATAACCATTTTTGTAGAGCGCTTGTGTATTAATTTAATATTATTTTCAAAACCATTTTCTTGGATTATTCTTATAGCACAGTTAGCCATTGGTGTAAAAGCCTAAGAAACATTTTCAAGTCATAGAAACTTTCTAATTTATAAATGAAATACATAACGAACGTTGTAAAAATTATTTACCTCGCAAGCTGTTACACTATCTGCTCCACATTTTGCAGCCATCATTGCTAATAAACCAGTTCCAGTTCCTATATCAAGTACATTAGCTTCTTCACCATTCTTATGCTTTTTCTCAATGGCTGCTTTAAGACCTAAGTAATATTTTTGATTCTATAATAATAAAAAAATTTTGTAAATAGGAGAAGTGAAAACTTATTTTGAAACAACGTAATATAAAATATTAACTCTTTCATGATCATGTAACATATCAGCAAATGCTGATCTGGCAACTTCTTGATGATAATCATAATTTTCATCTTTTTCCTCCCAATTAATAATTCCAGTTAAAGGATTCAAGCATTGAATAAAAACACTCATATTTCGTGTATGAATTAAACGAGTGAAACAAACTTTTAGCATAACCCTTTCCTGAAAAAACGTAAACATGAAATCTACTAATAAATATAACTGTTTATTAATAAAACGAGAAATAGATTACATTGAGAAAAATCTATGCGGAATAATTGATTTAATAACAATTTTATTTATAAATAGCAAATACAAGTTAAATCTAAAATTAGAATTGATTTATCATGTATTGCAGGATTAAATTTAATTGTGCTACAATTAATGTATAAACCATGAACAATGAATAATGAAATGTTAAATAAAATGAAATTAACAATTGCGCAAAAACGTAATTTTGATGCAATGACAAATGTCAACTGTAACACGTGTCTCTGTATATAACATATTCTACAAATTTATAGATGAACTGTATCGATGTATATATCTGACATTCATTTCTACTATATCAATAGAGTAAAAGATAGTTCCTAGAATGTCAATCTTAATTTACATAACTACTGTAGATTATTTATTATATAATTAAAACCAGGTATTGTTTTACGTAAAAGTGATAGAAGAATAAAAATTTAGTATACAAGCTATTTATTATTAAATGCTTAACTTCTTCGCGCTTATTTTTATTGTTTCGTTTCACCAGTAGGTGGCATATTTCCGTGCACATTTTTAACCAATCATAGTCATTTACTTAAACTTCGCGGGTCTGACAAGTATGTAACTGTTCCTTCGTTCGTTTCGTATCTTGCTTTTGGTTAACATATTCTTTTTTATAAGTGGATATATAATTTTTCAAATCATGTTTGCGTTTTGTTTTAAGTATAATTAAGTGAAAGCTGAAAACTATGATTCTCTAAAATGATCGTCATCGAATTGGAAATTCGACACAAATCGTATGTATACTTTCTGTATTTTATGCTAGACCGATTTTTTTAATTTTGGTAATCAGAATGAAAATCCTGGCTTGATCTTACTTTCAATTTAAAACTAAACATCATTTCTTAAGAAAGATAAGGAAATCGATGTAATAAGAAATCCACGTTTACGCCCGGTATTTATTTTAACATTCAACTGACAACAATATATATATGTACAGTTTTACGTATACGTAATATCAGTGTGTATATACTCATTGTATTTATATATAATTATAACATTAGCTACCGTCCGCACCTGCCCTTTATGTCTTATTCATTATTGCGCAAGCTACATCGACATTGGTTACCTGATACGATGTATCGTTAATAAAACTTTAATAACGCGAATCATCTTTAAAATCTGACGTCACAGCTTACGCTCTCACCACCTCGAATAATACATCAACCTTTTCTTTCATGCGTAAATTGCACCTTAAGTATGGATGGACACGACTTCCTTGTTGTACACTTCGCGAATTCAATAAGATACGTGGAGAAAACAACAAACGAAATCGGCTTAAATAATGGAATAACTCAAGAAGTGGTATCACCACCGAAATCAATATTTCACTTTGCTACCCTTGATTAAGCACGTAATAATACATTTCATTGACACTTTTCATTCGCTCCACCGATATCGACATGAAACAACAATAGATGTTAAACTATACAAATCGGTGTATAAGTGTGCAAAGTGCGCTAAGATAAATGATCTTTTCACTTCGCTGAAATTGTCGTAAAATTATCTTTTAATTATTGTCTATTAATTATTGTCCTGTTCAGGCAAATAATATTCACTTCATCCCACATTCGTATCGCTCACTTGCTCAAGTTGCCTTTGTGACTGATTAATAAGTAATTTTGCATTTACTGTGTAACATGCGATTAAAATATCAAATATATGTTAACAACTGAAACGACATTAGCGCCCTTCATACACCGACGCAGCCCTTTGCTGGGCAAGATCTTGAGTAACGATATAGAGAAATAAAATTACGTTCGTTTAATGAGTTATTGTCTGAGACTTGTATGTTTCGTAGCTCGAGGCAATACGTACGAAACACATGATAGTGAAAGAAACATTTGTACTATTCATTGCAAGGGCGAATCATCATGTTTCACGCGGCAGCACCTTGTCCCGCAAGTTATTGTCAGTTTACAGTTTAAAAGACACTTCAACAATTATTTACAGTCGAACTACTCCATATGAATAATAATATAATATAATATACGAGTATAAGTAAATCACTAATCGATCCAGGAGCAACATAATTAATCCTCGGTACTGTTATTAAGTCGATAACAGGGTCTTAACAAGTATAATATTATCAACGACTTTATATATATCATCTCGTATTAAATCACTCTTATGTTATGATAGTTTAGCACCTTCTTAAGAAAACAAGGAAGAAACGATCTATGTGAATGTTGATACACATCTCGAAACCGAAAGTTTATCGAAGATAGAATAGTTTCTTTTCTTCACCGATGATGGTAAATCTACTTTTCGACACTGTACGCGAGTTCTACGATGAATTTCTCCTGTTTCCAAGCTGTTTTCGTTAGAATCGTATTGAAATACGTGACAGTTTACAATCAACAATTTGTCAAAAAGAGTTAAGACCATACCCAAAAGCGTACATACAAAATAGAGAGATCCGAAGTACAAATAGACGCGATTAGAGCGTATCTCGCTACTGCTCTAGTCTCTCCTAATGAACGATTCTCTTATCGAAGGAATAGATTCGTTCATTTCAATTTAAATTTGTTCAGTTAATCGTGAGATACCAATTATCGACATTATTATTATTAATCGCGGTAAATTTTCATTGTTAACTCTTGAAACCTTCGAACCGATTGCCTTGCAGTGTAAAAATTTATCTAAAATGTACGATATATCATCGACATCGTGATTAGAGTAACGCAAACGATAATGTAACATATATGAATTTAATAAAAGGGAATTCTCTATTCCTTCGACGCCGACGTAGCAGCTCTCGATTTCATAGGCCTCGGTGAATGTGCAAGAAGTGCAGTGCATACGTTTATCTTATTGTCGAATTTTCTTTGTCGATTAAAAATTTTCGATTAATCGAATTTCGTTATTGTCGTACGATTCCTCGTCAATATGCCGAGTCCTAGAAAATTTTCTTATTGTCCTTATACGTTAAAATGTTCGCCAAGAAAATCGACGAACATACCGCTAAAATCGCAACGAAATTTTCTCTCGCTTGATGCATCATGTTGATATGCGTTCGTTTTCATTTTCTATTCCTCTTTTCTATTCCTATCGGAGTACTTTCAATGCGACATAGCTACCGCACATTGCTGATCAATTCTCACTTGCCCGCCTTCTCGATTCTCGCTCTCTTCCCTCAGTTACAGTTAGAAACAAAGTCTATAAATTCGACGTGTGGGATATGTATGTATGTCGAGATACCGCTAAAGTAATTGATATTCGTTAACATGAGGGCTACGATAAAATATCGACTATTCGAATGCATCACACTTGATCACATCATTGGAAATGATATTTTTGATATGATTCTTAATTCTCATTGCTTCTTCTGTTTCTTTCGACGCGTTCATCGCAAATTTTGCAATATTATACACATTATCTTCGTAGTGTAATTTGACACAAGAATGTAGCACGCAATGATAAGAGCACGTAACGGAGAATCAATCAGCGAAGTAGCGCTGGTTAATATACCTTCACCAAAGAACGAAAATAAATGCAATACGACTCGGGGAACGTCCTCCTCCCTTTTTTTTCACGCCCATTGGACGGTTCCTACGCTAATCTTAGGTCTCACGTTATTTGCAATTTGCTAAGCGGTAAAAGTTCTCACGAATCTAATTTTAATATTATCCTAATCATTAGTATTATGATCTGCAAATCTGTCGCAGGATTTTAACTTGCCTTTTAAGAATGTATATTGTAAATGCTAAAATGACGCGTTATGTGCTAAGTAGTCTTCGGATATACGATACATCTTGTATAAATGTATTTCTAATTTATGTTACAAAATTTCATCATTTTAAATAATTATGCGTAACCGGTTTGCAAAGGACGATTTAGAAATTTTGTTATATTTAGTTCCAAATGATTTCCTTTTCTCCTGTCTCCATTTCTTCTTCTAATCTGTTTTTTCTTTCTTTTTTTTTTTTTTGTATATTTCAATGTCTCATATTGCCATAATATGCGTGCAAAGGAAAATTCTTTTCTTTCGTAAACTTTAGTTAAATTAATCGAGATTAATGCATTTCGAATGTATCGTATATCTACGTAAGCAAAGAAACTGTAAAAGTTTTTGTGTTAAAGGTAAAACTTACAGTTTCTTATTTATATACTTGTCCGCCTGATATCCGTTTTCCCTCACATTTGATTGGGAATTACTTGCTGAAAACGTCATTAAACGCTTCCATCTTACCTTCCCAATTTATTGACATTCGCATTTACCGCTAAATGATCCAGAGGCTCGAGAAACAGCAGAGAGACACGTCTAAAAATGAAATTGCAATTGCTTCAACGGATCGCCATGACAAATCGAATTTTACCATCGAATTTTACTGCCTTACTCGAACGTGTGTTCTAGAATATCGCTTCTAAAAGAATATCGTCGCAACACCGCAATGTAAATACAAATCGAGTGATACAAACATCATTTTCAGAGTAATTGACACGATGTTTACCCCTCTCTAAATATTCTCTAAAGTGAATCAAAAGAATGTCAAGTGCCGAATTGAAATTGTAACAAAGAATGACAATCGTGACGTCTAGTTATCCCTAAATTAATTTCCAATGATCCAGACATTGATGCGAAGTTAAAAAATGCTGTCTCTCGGTCTATGAACCATTTAAACGCATGTTAATCCAACATGCACGAAGATAACCGTTCCTAGGTGAGATCCTCGTCGTCATCGCTGGGGCCACCGGTCGGGCAACAAAGGCCCTCCGAGCCATCGCTTCTTATACAGAATAACAATGTTTCAGCAGGTGTTACTTCGTGTGGCATAATTCCGTGGAATTCCTTCAGATCAGCCGCGGGGAACCACGCTTTCTCGTTGTCCTCGATTATCAGTATCCCGAAAAGTCTGAATTGGTAGAATGGTGGAAAATATTGTGAAATTAACAAGTAAGAGATGCGTGTGCACATGTGTTAAATGAGGTACGAACAATTAATGAGAGTTGATGATAAAAAAATAAAAAAAAGAAAGGAAGAATTACCTGCAGATGGCAATCGTGGGAATCCAAAGAACAGAGGCGAGAATGAGAATGCCGATGAGAACCAAGGCCCAAACTGGCCACTCGTGTTTCTCCGTAATACCTTTGCTGGCAACCCAGGCCGGATAACCGCTTCCATCGACAATGATTTCCACGATCGAGGCAATTAAAATGCTCAGCATAGCCAGTGGGCTGAGGTATTTCCAACAGATTAGCCAGTAAAGGCCTGGACGGTTGCCAGTCATCAGTTCGATATCATCGGCGAATCTATCAATGGGAATAATGCCAATAATCTGAAGGATTTTCGAAGACGAATATCGATGAGAAACGCAACACGTATTTTGAAGTATTGTTGCGTACCTTTTCAAACCATATACGTATGAGACTGCGATGCATTCGAAGAAGGCGATAATCAACAGAGGGAAATTTCCACTGAAATTGTCGAACAACACGAACACGTAACTACCAGCACCGTGGGCGAAAGCCATCGAAATTGCGCAGCAAACCAAGGAGATGCCACCTATTTTGGAAATGATCGTCTTCAACGTTAATGCGAATATTAACGAATATTATAATCGTCTCGGTAATCACTGACCTGTGAGGATCTCTTTGCGCAAATTTGGAAACAATTTCATGTCTACGATACTTGTAACGACTCCCTCGAGGGTACCAAACTGAGAGTCGATCCCCAATGTGAATAACATAAGGAAGAACAACACCGACCAGAACTGAGCGCCAGGAAATTGATTGATCGCTTCTGTGAAGATGATAAACGCTAAACCTGTGCCCGACGCTGACTGAAATGTTGCAAGAAAAAGATATTAAACGATCGAACGTAAATCTTATATTTAACAGTAGAATTTATAAGATCAGAACGATATATGTATATATTTGGAAATATAATTTACGTTGTCCAATTCCTTTTCGAGATCACATTCGGGTAGTTCTGGCATGATTAAATTATCCAGCGTCCCGTTTCCCGTGGTGATGTTTAAAAGTGTGCCGGTTGCTGGTATTTCGTCTGGTATTTTATCTATCTGGCCGAAAATATTGATGAGCGTGGTGTTTCTCTCCGCTAAACAATGTTCGTAAACCATGGTGGCTTTGAAACCTATGTTTAAATAAATAATACGCATGTTCAATTGATCTCTTCCGGTAATTCGCATTTAAAAACTCAGTGGGCAAATAATTACCAATAATAGAAAACACAACAATCCCGGCAAACATCGAAGTGAAACAATTTGTTAAACTGACCATAATAGCGTCTCGATAACAGTTGTTGTTCACAGGATTGTAAGAGGAGAACGCTATTAATCCGCCGAATGCCAAGCCGAGGGAAAAGAATATCTGGGTGCCCGCTTCCAGCCAAACTACTGGGTCAGTTAATTTCCACCACTGAATGGATAATTATTAAAATATTATTAAAAAATAATAATACCGATATAATATCAATAATTTCTTCGCCATCTAAATATTACAAACGATAAACCATGCACTGCACATTCACCAATATTACTCGTACATTAAAAAATACACGTCGTATTCGAGAGATGTGAATCATACTTTTGGAGTGAAAAGGTGACGTAGGCCATCGGACATCCCTGTCAAAGTGACGCCACGGAAAAAGAAAATGATCAAAACGATATATGGAAACGTGGCGGTCACGTACACGACCTATAAAAGATATTTCAATTTAAAAAGTTGTCTGAGAAGATCGCTGACCGTTCAATTCTGCGCATAATTACATGAACGCATGCAGTCAACGTTGAACACTTTAAAAGAATACCTTCCCTGAAGACGCGATTCCTTTGATCATACACATGTAGACGAGTATCCAAGCGATCACTAATGCAAGAGCAATCTTCCAATTGAATATTTCTGGAGTATTAATATCCTCGGAGATCATCAATGTCGTTCGATACCAGAAATACTGCGTGGGACTGCTAACCTGAGAAGCAATCATTAGTTGCACATAACGCGATTGTCCTGATTATTAAATATCGATGCGTTAATTAATTCGATCAGCCGTACCACACACTCCGGTTCAGGCGCGTACGATCCGTTTTGGAAATATATGTTGGGACACTCTGCCCATGGTAGCTTTGATTGAAAACTCTGGAAAATGCATAATTCATTTGTTAATTCACTTACAATTAGCTTGAGCTGACACGCAATTTACGCATACTTTAGCATGGAATCTACAGCTGCCCAAACTCAATGAAATAAAATTCTTGCAAAAATTTTTATAAAGCACGACAGATCTTAACTTTCACTTTCACACTTTTTCCTCTGAATGATGAAAAATGATAAAACAGTCATTAAAAGTTACAGATACGAACATTGAAAGCTATAGATTTACAATATTTGGAGTGGGAAACTGTCTAATGGGTGAATAAATACTCACTTGAACAAAGTAAAAGAGGCACCAAGCGATAATAGTATTGTAATACAGAGCTACGTTGAACGACACTACAGCACTGCTTACACCGATGCCAGCCATATACGGAGAAACCTGTTAAAGAGCACGATGTGTCGCATGTAAAAACTTAGGTTCATTTTGACAGATCGCGTTGTACACATTGTGCAACAATCACCTGATTCCATACACCGATGGCGCCCTTTCGTAATCTCTGGCCAATTGCCAGTTCCAGATAAAATATAGGGATCCCCTCGATAGCCAACATTACAAAGTAAGGGATTAAAAACGCACCTGTTTCGAACGGTTCAAGCAAAGAGAAGACGATTAATCATCGATGTTCAAAAATTCTGATGAAAATTGTTGTTTCTTTCAAGTAATAATTGACGCACCTCCGCCGTTCTTTTGAGCGAGATATGGAAATCTCCATACGTTCCCAAGCCCTACAGCGTACCCTACGGTTGCTAATAGAAAAGTAAGCTTACTATCCCAATTTTCTCTTTCATCCTCCCCCGCTTCTGGTCGGAAAATCGCTTTCCCTTCATTGCTTCCGAGCTTACTACCGCCACCCCCATTCCCCGTTGTTTTGTTCTGCAATGACAAATAATATCCAAATAATATCAGACATTACTTATTTCACTCAGTAAACATTTTCCATACGTATTCTGACAATAAATTAACTAAAATAATATGTAGTTAATATAAATAAGCGAACAGTCATTTATTTTTAACTTCCAACTTCTATTCTTTACTTCTTTTTACAATCGATTGTTTTTTCTTTTTTTTTTTTTTTTACTTTTACTGTTGCTAATCAATTTCTTCAAGCTGTTATCAATTGACATTACTTACCTTCGTGTTAGGACTGGAGTCCTCAAAGGCTGCGTTCGTGGCCCCGTAATTGGCAGTGGTGTTTGCTTTTCTGTTGTCCACCACTAATCGTCCTCTCATTTCCTTCATTTCAAGTTTATCGACACTTTTTTGGGGCTTCAAGTCGCGCGAGCTTTGCCGGCGGACCAGATGGGCCGTGTTCGCCATTCTTTCTCTTTATCGTGCGACCACGATTTTCTTCTTTCCGAAAGATCAAACAGAAATACCACGCGCGCCTATGGACTCCATCCTGTTAGAATTAAGAATAATTTATTGTTTATGATAATTATGTGTAAATATTCTTGTCAACAGATTTATTACAAATACATCTATAGACAAGAATAAATTTTTAAAAACAGACGTGGTCAATTTTAAATACTTAATTAGTGGAAAATTTCGACAGATAATTGAACATAATGTTCGTGTTTGATATTTAATTCTAATACATACTTAAATGTGGATTGTTCGGCTTCAATTTAGTTTAATAATTCTCAATTTTGTTGAAATAATATTGAACGTTAAATTTTGCTTATATATAATAAAGTTCATTATCCTGTGTCTTTCGCGTTAATAGCGAACAAAGTACCAACATTCGTTCGTCTCGGAAAGCTTTGTCACAGTATCTAAATTCACAAAGGAAGGAAACAGATACTTTGGTGAAATTAAAATTAGACTCGCTTCAAAAGGAAGTATGAAATTACTTCACAGTTTTCTAGTTACTTTCTTAAGTCAGGGTTACAATTAGTCCAGTCTTCTTACAGTCCCATTTGCAAGAATATACTTCATACGTTTGGAACTGCTATTTATTTAACCTGTCTGAATAAAGCTACGATCTTGAAAAACAAATAATGTTTAGAACTAATAATTCTCTAATAATTAAAATACTTTATTACGAATTATTTACAAAAATGCAATGTTATTTATACTCGATAAAAATACTCGACAAATTCGATAATTGTTCAATACTTAGTAAATTCGTATGATTATGTAACATGGATATTAACTATAAATTCCAATATAGTAGCGAAGACTCGAAGTAAACAATAGATGAGAGAGAGAGAGAGAGAGAGAGGACGACGTGCAGAGGTTCGCACGCGATTCCCTTGTTCTCTCATTTAAAACGCTCTCTGCCCAGTAAGAAAAGCACTTGACAGAAAAAGTCTTTATAATTCTACTCAAAGAACCTGGCACACGTCGCTTTTTTTCATCGATAGGACAGTTAGTTAGGAGGGAGAGATGTTTGCCTTTCGGCTTTGTCACGGCCTTGACCTCGTAAACGAGGGATCTTGAGAGTCAATTAATGTCACTAAATATTCTGCAAGTATGCTTATTTAGTAATACAGTCGAGAATGTTTATTTTCCATGTCGATTGTAATGCATCGATGCACCGAATATCCGTCACGGTTTGCCAGCCGAATCGGTTCGTGCTAAATTTATGAATAAAAATTTACTCGAGAAAGGGAACGACATTAGAGAAAATCATTTCCACGCAATGTCCTTCGCTTCTGTCTCGTGAAAATCAAATGAAACATCATCGTTTCCTCAGGAGATTTTCGATAACATATTGGGCGGCAATTTTACACGAGTGATATGCACTATAACTACCGTTCCCATTGACGTCATGGGCGCACCAGTCAAGTGACATTTTTCGTCCTACATAATATTGTCAAACTGAAAAACGACTCTCGAAAATATTTTCCAAATATTTTTCGATATCCATTCATTCGTCGAGACCTTATTCATCGCGAGTGTAATGTAATTAAACGTGTTCTCATTCAAAGGTCCAGATTCAAATAAATAACGCTCCAGTTCCGTTTTATTATCGCGAGGCGATTTTACGTAACAGCGACGTGATACGATCTATATCGATTTGACAAGAGATTGTTGAAGAAAGAAAAAAGTATCCGCCGTTTAGTCACAAAATAACGTTGCAAGCTCGTCACTAACCTGTTGGGGTGAAATAAAGAAAAGCGCGAGGGCCTCCTTATGGTTCGAGGAGCAGTTAGCTACTGTGGCACCCTCTACTACGATGGTAACTTTTGAAATCACGATATCCAACGGAATCAATAGCAAGCGCCGGCGCCCCAATGTCTCCTACAGACGTGTCCTACAGACCGTAATATGCGTGAACCCTTTTTGCTAGAAAATTGGAATCGATGATCGGCAAACCGATCGTGGCAAATAACCGATGACATTTACCGTCGATCGAAGGAACTAGAACGCAAACGTGACACGACATCGGACGATGATTGATGTTGCGATAGTTTAGCTTGGAGTGTTGCAAAAAATTGAAATTTTCTTTCTCACGTACTTCTTAATGCATAGATATATATTTTTTAAATAATTCTCGCAAGAAGGATTCTAAATAGACGTAAAGATGTTTAATAATTTGATCGAGTTGAGGAATTCCACAACATCCAAACAGGTCTTTATAACAGATTTTACAGCACATTAAGTGTATCAGATGCACAAAATTTTATCCACATACGTAATTGAATTGGAAATTCCAATGGGAGATTAAGTAGAAGCATTTGACCTTTACGAAAACTGAATCGATAACAAGTAACACGTATTCTTATATTCTATGTAGAAGAAAGTGTCTGAATGTGACACGAGTAAGAGTCGCGAATTACGTAAACAGTTTTTCAGGAAGGAAATATCAATGTTTCCTTCACTTTCAATGTTTCCAGCAATTGTTTGTGATATGGATAAATAACGCGAGGTGGCTGAGCCTCAATGCAATCATTGTTAATGTTGTTTCGAGGTAACGCTCATTTCAATTAAACAACACGCTTTACTTTGAACAGACAGTGAGAAGGCTTTGTATTTATTAGTTAGAACGAAAATCAATCAGAATTTCCCAATATCGTGTCGAAATTTTTGTTAATTTCAAAAAAAAAAAAAAAAGAAACGATTGAAATTTCAGTCGTGTGAAATGAACTTAAGTTGACATACATATTCACATATAAATAAAGTGAATAGTTAACGAAATTTTTATTAAAATTTCTTTAAAAGTCGTTAATTATATTTGATAGTAGAAAGAAGTAGTATTTTTTTGTTGCCTTCACTTGCAGACAAAAGAAGCTTATTCGAGAGTTGCAGTAGATAAACTCGTTTTTAGTCAGACAAGCAGAGTACGTCGCCCTACAGCTTACGTAACGAGTTGTACTACTTGTAATACTTACTTCATCGTGAATTACAAAATCATAGTTTTCATAATTTTGTACGAATTAAATTTTCATTTGTTGATCTCGCGAAGTACAAACATAAAAGAAATATATTTACAAGTTCATTTCAGGAAGATCGAATTACTGAAAAAATAATACAAATGCAGATATTTTTATTTATCCTATTTGTATACAAACTAGTCGCAGTCTTTAAAAATATTTGCTTATAAAAATTCGTAATATTTATATGCAGTATTAAAAAGTATTTAACGTAAAGATTCTTTTATTAAGAATTGCGTGAAATATAGTATGCCTGAAACAAATAATGCAAATTAATGACAAAATTGCTAATTAGTTAAAATGCTAAGGCAGGTACTTACGTTCGATCCGAAGCTTTTTAAATCGGTCCTCGATAAAACACTTCGTTAAATTCTTTATCGTTTCCTCATCATTATAATTGAATTTCTTTATATTTCCATTAATCAGAAGATATCTAAAAATTGTATAAATTAAGCAAAAATTCACTAGAAAATTCACAATTCAAATCTGAGAAAAATTTGCAATTAAAGGATACAGTTCATGGTAATAATTAAAAGCTTCAATAGCCCATTCTAAAAGTAAATTTAATCGTGGTCTATAAGGTGTTCCATTAATTAATTCCTTCATTGTGTCATCATCTAATGAAACCTTGCTTCGTGCATCTTCCAGATTGTTTAAACGATTTTTTAAATCCTGAAGTAATATTTTTTTTTGATAATTAATGATGGTAAAAATTTCTACATTAAACTTTCTACATAAATAACATAACTATTTTTAATTTGTTATAATTTTATTTACTTGATTAATATTGTTAAATCGCATTAAAATATCGAAGAGCAGCCTCAGTTCATTATCAATCCCCATAAGAATTTTAAAAATCAATCTTTCGCGTAACTCGTCTATCTTACAGAGTTCTGCATTATCAATCTCGTTGCTGCAACAGAACGACACCTAATGGTAGACCAAAAAAACTTCTACTTCTCTCAAATGTGGTCTAACTTGTATGCGTTGAGCTTCTACTCTAGCTATTACATGTACATGACACATAAACCAGTGATAAAACTCGTAACAAAAAATAGAAAGTTAACGTTACCTTACAACTAGTCGGATTTGCTCTGATTGGTTCTTTAAGGCGTGTAGAGGTCGTTTGGCTTCTTCGGATAATTCATCCCACTTGCAATTTACTTTCTCCAACTGTGAGAAATAGTTTATCAAACATTTATGTAGTTCCTTTGTCATGCCGTTTATAGGTTATTTAACAACTTTGGACACGCTCTGATACGAGAAACAGAGAGCGCTAGTTGGCACAAATATCAATGCAGAAGAATGTATCGCTTCTGTATATTAATATACATAAAATTCTCAGACAAATCAATTCAAAATGTGTCATTATTGTTTGATAATTGCACACGTAAAAATATAGTTAAATAGTTACATTTCTACAAATCATCTCATTTAGATAATTTCTTACCTCATACGCAAATGTTACGTCTATTGGTATGCTCTAGTAAAAATTTCCATAAAAGAGAATCAATGAATAATGGATCATTTTTCTCAGTAACTAAATAACTGTAATTACTATTACAGATAATTTAGTGCATTTGTTTATTTTCTTTCACGATAGTATTTAAATATCATTATTTACATTTTACGCGAAGAACACTTGAATACTAATCAGTCGCGATATTGATAGTACCGTCATTGACGCATTGAAACTTCTTTCACAAAAGTTTGTAAAAACAAACAAACACTGACCTCTCGAACGTGTAAATTCGTTCATTCATTAAAACAATCTGCTTAAAATAGAGTAAAATGAAACAGCTATTGTGTTTGAAATAAATACGGGAAAACAGTTTATAAAATTATAATAATAATAAATATATCTGCTTATTATTTAATTATTGTTCAGTAATATTTAAGGAAGCTTAATTTAGTTTAAAATGGATCGTTAGTAATCTTCGAAAAAGTATTTTATCGTTGCTTTGACCTAGATTTTTTCGATTATGCGAATAGAACTTTTCTGCTCTATAGAAAGAGCATGAATGTTTAAAGTTTCGATACCTTGAGAAAAAAGATAAACTATCCTTTGAGACCTATTTGTTTTCTTTATTTTCTAATAGAAATTGGTAGAATGATAGAAAATGCTACTTGCAAAATTAATGGGGCATTAATTTTCAAAGATATGTTTTTTTCTATATTAATCATTCTTAAAATTAAAACAATTATAGTATCTTAATGACAGTAGTAATTTCACAAGAAGTAATTACAAATTTTAACAGAGATACATTTAAAAGTTAAATATTTACATAAAATTTATATATATATATATATATTCTTGAAAAGAATTCTGCCGATATTAAAGAAAAGTTTTTAATATCAAAATACCATTAGATTTCAAAATTTTTAAAAAATATTACTCTTTAGAGAATAATCATGTTAATCGATGCATTTCATGTACTAAATAGTAAGTAAGTTAATTATATGTTAATTCCGTGATAATTCTTTTACCGTAATTGTTCAGAAATTACACTTGTTCACTCCAGTCTAATAGCTTGTACAATACATTCAATTTGTTTACACATTCCGAATTTAATTTTAAACTGTATTGTTTGAGTTTGAACATATAGCAAAGTATTTTAACGTTTGATTTAAACCTTTTAAAGTGACGCACATTTCAATCCCATATTTCTACGTACGTAATATGTTTATCCAGTCAAAAGAGAAAAAAAGAGAAGAAATATATCTGACTTGCTCAAATATTTTAATCAAATCTTTGTTATTCATAGAGTATACAGTAAGAGCAATTGAACGTAATCAAATTAATATTGGTGAAAAACGTACACTTGTTACACTTGGAAAGCTAGACGTGGAAAAGGAAAGGGTACCTGGAAACGACGGTGACGGACCTGGTTCGATTTCTTCGTGCCACTTCGTTCTCACAGAGGCAACCTAACGGAGATACCCGAAGGAACTTTCGACTAAAGCGGCATGATGCGCACGCATCTGTCAGTATCCCCCGTGCACTCGGTGGGGTTCGGTAATAGTCGGAGTGTATTTGGCCGGTTCGTATCGTCGAGCCGACGGCGAGCACAGTAGATCGTCGACCGACAACCCCTTCGCGTACGATCATGTCTTGCCACGGCTGATCAAGAACACCCCCTTTTTTTTCTTCGTCGTTTTTTTTGTCTGTCTGTCTCGACTAGTACCTCGCTATACAAACAGTGTCAGAAAGCTCGGGCATAGAACGTCTCGCACCTGCAGACACGTATCGACGTTTCGCGGCCAGCAGTGTGTGAACACGTCAGGCTACTAAGCCGCGTTTATTATCTCGCTCTCCCTCCGCATAAGCCTCCCTCTCTTCAACCCTCTTTACCTCTTTCACGTTCTCTCTCACTCCCTCATTTTCGTTTCTCTGCCCGTGAACGAGAACATGGATGAGGCCAACGGGAAAATGCGGAGCAAGCACGAGGACGTGGTGGATGCTGCGTCCCTCAGTGCTGACATCCTGAACCCTTTTGTGCATCGTCTCGAGCTCGACACAACCTACGACAAGCTCAAGGTCAGTAGCTCTCCGAATCCTCCTGCACGCGGAAAACCCCTACGGGATCGATGTTCACATGTTCACGGCACCCAAATGTTTTAGGCGGTTGTCATGGGCGGGGCGGGAAATTTTACGTTAGCTCGAGTTGGAACAACGTTCACGTCCGCCACTCTATTACCTTCGTGCACACATGCCGGTTTGCGTGCAGACGAACGTGAAACGTCTGGCTCGTAAAAATAGAACGGATTTTTGCCGATGCAACGCGATTTTATTGCAGATACGTTGCGAAATGTTTCGATCTCGAGCGTTCTATCTTTTCTTTTTTTTTTTTTTAATTCGCATCGGCGAAGTTCTAATTGCCGCTGCGACGTTATAGCTCGACTTCCGACCGGGGGGACGAAATTCGACGAATCACCGACGACGAATACATTATCCGTTTCTTTTGATCAAAATGTGTTTTCGTAACATTTTTTTCTTTTTTTTACACTCACCAATATGAATATTCAACGTCCGATGAATACGTCAAACACATACATTTTCGCGTAATATTTCGATTAGTCGCCACTCGATCGAATTCCGCGGATTCTCGTCGAAAATTCTCGTATTTCGCGTGTCATCAGCATTTGTTCAAATTCTCGTTTTGTCATATAATATCGTCGTAAGCCTTACCTGGATTGAAGCCAACTTTTTCAAAACATTGTCTCGAGCACGAAGGTTTAATTAATTTCATATACGCGAATTATTGGCATTAGTTGATTAGTTAATTTTCACGAATTTGATATGATGGAAAGTATATGTGATAAGATTCGGCGATTGATTTTTTTTTTTTTTTTTACGCCGAGACTTCCTGCAAACGTTGCTTAAGATCATGTTATATTTACAAACAATTTCGACGCCTTGACATTATCGAGTTATCGACACGTTCTCGAGCTGTTCCTGTCATTTTAAGTGACACAGCCTTGCCATGGATGTGATCGAATTTTTCAACATCAGACACACTACAATTCACCCAAAAAATCAGCTCGCTTCCCTCACCATAATTCTAATCAAACGAAAGTAGATTAGAATCAATTATTTCTCGCGCGAAACCGACGAAATAGCAAATTGTGTGAAATACCACCGAATAATACATATTTATGTTATTTCGCGCGAGGGAATTGCACAATTCACCGCGTGATTCGTTAGTGATGAATCAATGATTTCATTGATCGTTTACACTTACACGATCGGTCGACAGACACTATGTTCTGTTCACCTTGATGAAATATCTGACATACGTGGGCGAAATATTGCCAGAGCACCATTTGCGTGTTTTTAATTAATAGTAACTGAAACGGTAGAGCAATTTCGTTTGAAGTAAATTAATTTTTGTCAATTAAAAAGAAATCCACTGTAGAATTCTATGACAAACAAAGTGATCATTGAAAAAGCGAGACAAAAATACATTTTTTTCCAAAAATATAGACAGAAAAAGAGTATGTGGAATCGATAGTTTTAGAACAGAAGAATAATATAAATGTCTTTAGCGTTTTTTAAACACATGGAGACTTTATGCCTTTCAAACGTTATATAATCGTTAAAAAAGATATATTACGTATAGAAATCTTGTGTGAAGAGGTCATAAGAGTTGAATTTTCAAGTTTGTCAATTTCATTGCTTTCGACTGTAAATTTCCAACACTCAATCCACACGCGATAATTAGCACGTGCATGTTCATATATCGTACAGCGAACCGTGCGTGTGCATAACTTAAACACGCCATGAGAGATGCATCTTTTTGAATAGCAAGGAGACTGCATAGCATTTAATCCGCGCGTCACTCCCTTTACATTCTACATTGTCGATCGCACGTATCGCGCGAGAGTCAAAGACGAAAACCGAGTTAAAAGATCGCAACTCTCTTTTTCAACCGGACTGTTTCGGTTCCGTTCCGTTTCTAGCTTTCGGTTCTTATCTACAGTTTTTAACCCCGCCGATTTTTAATACGCGTTTCAAAAGATCGTTTTGTACCACGTGCAAAGTCTGCATTCGTGATCTTTCCTTTCACCGTTCCTTTTCTCTGAGATGAGTGAATTGTAAAATTGATTTTCCTCCAAAAAGTTGGTCCAGTTTCGTAGTTTTATCACGAGCAAAAGAAGTTTCGCACAGAATATACATACACAATGACATCAAAGTTCTTAGAACGAATGATTTAGATTTAGATTCTTATTAGCGGATGATTTATTTATGAGCGACGTGCATATCGTAGCAATTTCAACGGTATTTTTTTGGTGTTATCCAGCAGGTGCCGTTAAAATGTGATGCATGCACTAAACGAAATTGCATCGCGCGCATGATTCAGTGAATAAGCGTATTTCTTGTAGATGCATTTCTTTGCGCTGTCATAACCTAATAATAAAAGAGGTGCAATAATGAACTTATAGACGATGGTTGTATACATAATGTATCGTAGAAGATAAAAATTTCTTTGACATTTATCTCGTAAATTGTCTCACCAGAAACATAATCAATGATTGAGAAATAATCAAACGTTCTGCGAAAGTTAAATATAAAAATTAGGGTTTGGTAATTGGTATATTGTAGATATTCTGTTAGATACATTGTATTTATTTTTATATGATGCTAGTACTGATGCAATGCTAATTAATTTAAGTTTCGTCATATTGCTGTATGTATAATGACTGTATCGAAAGATGAGAGATTTACATAATGCCAGGGGGATAAATAATATTATTATGAGACTGCAAATATTTCTGGAGAACTACATTCTTCTTTGGATGGTTTGCATCTTTAATTTCTCAGTCTAATAATTACTATGATATTTAAAAAACAAGAAATATTCTTTCTGCTTCAACAAGCGTCAAACATATTTTGAAATTTAGCCAAAAATACGTTCAATCGAAACGCGATATCTTCAATGTAAATTCTTAGTAACATTTTAATTCTCTTGCAAATAACATGGTTGCATATGACTCGAAACTTTCTCCGTTTGAACAGGACGTACTCGACCGAATGCAACTTGAAGCAGCTCGTTATAAAGAAATTATAATGAAAGTTATTTTAGCTGAATAATTTTAGCGAATTTCAATAAGTTGTGTCTCTATACAAATATCACGTGACCTTTCTCTATGTGCCCATTGCAGTAGTATTACGTAACAGGAACTCGATAGTAAGAAAATATAATGTTGCAACAGCATGTTGCAAAGAATTTCTTTACATATTGGTTTTATGCACTGTATCGATCATTTCAGGCTACAGGAAAAAAGAAACATTAATAACGAGACAGAAATGCATATTTCTTCACAATATGCATTTTATATATATATTAAATTTACGTGACAAATGATATGACTTGTTAGTTTGAAAATTTCATTCTCTTCAGAATAATTTGATATTGAAAACATTGGTAATTTATACAAAGTAGCGTATAATAAATTTTAATACGATTTAAAATAATTTCAATTGTATAATAAAAAGAGTAGAGAGACGAAAATTTTCAGTCGACAGTTGCTGCAATTTTGTGTATTTAGTTGCATACATGAAATAGATGGTTTTTAACATTTGTGCGTTTTGTATAAACAAAAAGGATTTCACTGTGAGAGACCATTTTTCTAGAGCCTTTAGAATGAGAAATTGCATTAGAGTAAATAGGAAGTATTCAGGTAACACATATATCTAATTGATATTGAATTTCGAAGCCTCTAACCGTCCTTACGGCCGGAGAGAAAATCTCTTTAACTTATGACAAGAAAATCTGTCGCTGGCATGTTGGATCGGATTTCTGATGTGCCTCTCCGGTATTTACAGTTACTTCCTACATACAACTATTTTCCATTTATGTTAACGCACGTCGTCATACATAGACCTAGTAAATTATAAAATGTCGCGTAACTGAGACAAAATAAATTAATAATTCAATTTCCATAAACCAATGCTAACATCGAGTGTAATTGAATTGTGCAATTTAAGGAACATTTATATATGGGCTGTTTTCACACAGTGGTCTCAGCTAGAAATAAATTTTCCTTAACCGCGTATTTGCATATATTCAATTCCATGAGGCAGCATTTATATCCAGTATTCGGTATTCAAGAAAAGAACCTTTTAAATTGACATTTAAAATTTAACGAGCTTTCTAACGAGCTTGCAGTCAATCCGATAAAACATTTCGATAACGTTGCAATTTCGCGACCAGTATTTAGCATTCAGAACGGGATTATCCTTAATTTGCACGCCGTAAATTTTTTTTTTTTTTTTTTTGCTACCTAATTAATTAATTATTGTAGGGCAAATAATGGTATTCCGGCGTTTGAAACAAGGTCAGAAATGATTAAGAAGAAACGCGGGGCAAGAGGAAAACGCTAAAAGATGTATTTAAACACGGCGCTGGCTTTTCAATGGTATTTCATCGTTGCTTTCCGCGTTTTGCTCTCACGTCGTTTGAATTTTTCTTGGAGGGAAAGGATACGAAAAGGACTCGAGCAAAAAGGCGTGGCATTCGATAAATGTTGTGCTGGCAAATTTTCATCGGTCGGGGGAAAAAGGCGCCAAGTTTCGCGACGCGGGAGGGGGGAAAAGCGATGTGAAACGGCTGGAAAAACAATTCTCGTCAATTTTCACTGGTAGAAGAGCAAGTCTTTCGCTTGCGCGAAATGTGGGTCATAAGCACGCAGGGAACCTACTCGGTGAAACGTATTCTTCGCGAGGAGCAAAAAAACAGAGGTGGAAAAACGGTTCCAAAAGTTTTTATTTTTTCCTTTGCATGAAAATTGAACCTAGAAACCTAAAGTTATGGCGCTTAGATTCGCTTGTGGCGATAACAATTGGACCACCGGAATTGATCTGGTGTGTAACCCTAACGCTTTCGCTCGTTTATATAAATGTTCTTATTATAATAAAAATCCTTATTATATAATACGCTCGTTATAACAAAAATTCTTGGGAAATACATCAGATTGAGTAATATCGGCTATTAATAGAGTACAAGACAAGTTTCAAAAAATTAATTATTATAATAT